TAATTGGTTGGGACTCCACGTCAAATTGAGACATTTGTATAAACCAAACTATGAAATATTGTTTGGAGACCCAAACAAACTTGGATTTTTACCCATCATACTATTATGAAAAGTTTGAGATGTCCTATATAAAATCTTTGAAAATCACTTCTTCCAAATCCAATTCTAAGGCTTTGGAAAACCTACAAGTCCATAAAATCTAAGTTAAACATGCTGGATTTTTCTAACTTTTATGCACAATTATTCCTAATTCCTAGTTTATGCCTTAAACATGAACATGAAAATAAATTATTGTAATAAGACATAAAATATAGCAACTAAACTAAATATAAAAATAATAAAGATATAATATAATGTATCTATCACAACTTTATATTAGTTCTAATTTTAGAAAAAAGAAAAATTGATTAAAAATTCTATAAAAAAAATTCTAAAATATTTCTTATTTTTTTTCCAGTTTCTTATTTATTTATTGCTAGAATTTTTTTCCAATTTTTTATTTAAGTTATATTTTTTTAAAAAGACGAAAAATAATTAAAAATAATTTTTTTATTAATTTATGCTCAATTTTAAAGGTTTTTTTTTAAAAAATTTTCTAAATGAGTTTTTATTTATTTTAAAAATTCAAACAAACAAATTTAAGTGAAAATTATAAAATCTCAAACACATAAAATAAAAACTTTAATGAAAAATTAAATTGGAAAATCATGTCCAAGAAAAAATAAACAAAGCTGAATCAAGTATGTTTCATCAATAAATTGATAATTTTATCCTTTATTGATGAAGTAAAAAGAACATTAACAAAAAAACTTTTTATGTGGTAAATATATAAAAAATTAGATAAACAAATTATAAATTATAAAAAAAATAATAACAAATACAACATAAATTTATATATAAAAAATCATTTTTTCGTCCTTTTAACAATTTTTTTAACCATTTTTTTAATTTTAATTATTTATATGGCAATTAGAACTAGTAGAAAGTCGACACACATCTTCCTCCTTTTCAAAACTCAAAATTAATACAAAAAAGTGGATTGAATATAGACGAGCTATCTCTACTACCTAGCGAGACCAAATCATAAGGACTCGATTGCACGAATTGAAACCACAAGGCTTTCTTTCTAAAAAGGAATACTACAAGGACATCTAGCCTCATTAAACCGGAAGAATAGTAGCACTTTCAACATCTTCTCTCTCTTAGTCGTTGCTCTAGGTAGACATGGTAACGGTTCGGGAACCGTCGATTTCGATTTAGGAACCGCCGGTTAAGGTTCCACTAAAAGTTAGAACTCGAACCAAACCTTCTATGGACGGTTACGATTCTGGTTTGGAATTGTAAAATTGACGGTTTCAAACCATTTAGAATCGATTGTTCAATGGTTTTTTTATTAAATGAAAAAATAAAAAAAATCGAACATTTTTTCTCAAGTATAAATCAAACATTATCATTGAAACAAAAAAACTTCTTTTTTGCATAATGTATAAATATTATAATATTTTTTACATTGTAATGTATTTCGCACAATAAATCAAAGGGAAAAAAGAAATAAATAAATAAGGGCTTGAACTTAATTTTTGTAAACACTAATAAAATTAAGCTTCCTACGTATCCTCTTAGGGTTTAGAGGAATCAAAGCTTACGTAATTCTCTTTTACATTTCAAGTTACCCTTTTACAAATTACACCTATGTTCTATGTAGCTACGCCTAGTTGCTTTCTTGATCGAAAGTTTTAGCTTCGAAGTTTCGTCATTGTGCCATCGAGTGTTAGATCCACACTTTCTTTATTGAAATCATATTGTTTTTGTTCTTGTGTTCTCTTGTCGGCTCTTATCCAATCATCCACGCATACTTAGGCTTCAAGTGACTCGGGAGCCAATTGTGATCGTCTATCATCTAAAATATTGCATCCGGAGCTAAATGCTCTTTCAACGGCTATTATTGAAGTCGGCACAACAAGTATTTGTCTAGCTATTATGGACGGGACTGGAAAGATGCACTGTATATCTTTTCCACCAATCAATTACTTCAAAATCTACATCCGCATTGCTATCACCAAACTCAAACACGAGTTGTTAGATAAATATCAAGCTCGAAAGTGGAGCCCGATGATCCTCTTAGCCTTTTTGTCCTTTCCATGGCCATAAGATAACCTAGCTCTAACACGTTGGCTACTTAATCATGATTGTGGCATAAGTGGTAAAAAGGAACTAGCATATTGATCACCCATAGTTAGAGACATTTCAATATATAAATTTCTAACCTCGATTTATAATATAAGCGGCTTCTAATTTTATATTTCTATCAAATAATTGCAAATACTCATAGTAAGTATTCAAAACAGCGAGAAAGACCTTCCATTCTAAATCTAGGATCAAAGACTAAAGCAACAAGATAAATATGTGGAATTGTTTCATAATAACTTAACCATTTTTGTTTCGTTATTTGAACAGCATCATGTAAAGTTGGCGTACCTTATTCTACATATTAAAAACTTCAACAATATTAATTGCTTCAATCATAAATAAATGTGAAGTTGATTGATAAACGACACTAAAAGTGTATGTTGCATTGTTAAAAACACTTAAAAGTTCCAAAAGTGGTTCGCAAATATCAAAATCATTTTGACAAATAAAAACATAATGAATATTTTTTGAAAAAAATGAGCATAATAAATCTCGATATTCAAATGACTACCTAAGTAAGTCATAAGTTGAATTCCAACGAGTTAGAACATCTTTTGAAAATCATCTTGGTTTTTTGTTTCTTTATTTGCAAAACTTTCCCCATGATTTCATCTTTTGGGGATACGCCCATAAATATTTAGCAAGAGCTTTAATTGGCCTAACAATATCTTTAAGATATTCCAAATCAGATTGCACACATAAATTTAAAAAATGACATACGCATCTAATATGAAAAAACTTACCTCCAAGATAGGGTTGACAAAGTTCTTTTAAAGAGTCTATTGAAGCATCATTAAAACTAGCATTATCAAAAGAAATTGAAAATATTTTTAAAGGTAAAACATATTCATCTAGAATCCTTTTTAGTATCTTATATATATTTTGAGCGGTATGTTTATCATCAAAAACTTTATATGCAAGAAGACGTTTTTGCATGTATCTTCATTATCAATCCAATGACAAGTTACATCCATAAAGGAGTGAGTTTGCTATTGATCGGACCATATATCGGAACATGTAGAAACACGACCATTCAAATTTGTAAATAATACAATTAATTCTCTCTTCTTTTTTTTTATCTTTATACAATTTTATAACTCGCTTTTTTAAAGAATGTCTTTCAACTTGTTTGAAAGCGAGATTCAAAGCGTTAGAACAATAATCATTAAAACCCATTTTTTGACCAAAACTAAAAGATAAATGATCGATACATACCATTTTAGCTATTTCTTCTTTATTTTTTTTTATTAGTTTACTGAAATAAAAAGGAAGATTGAGAAGCAAACTCGGATATTTGTATTTGATGTTTATCATTACCAAGTACGAGATGGATGCTTTTTCTCCAAGTGGGTTTTGAATGTTCCATAACCACCTCTTTGTTTGAATGTGTATTGCTTGTTGCGGTAGTCGCAAATCACGGTAAAAACGCCTTATTCTAAAGAAACTTTTAAGAAATGAATTATGAAGATGTCGGATGATCTAGGTGTAAAATTGATTGTTGTTGTTGCTCCCTGCTCGATTTTGATTGGCGGTATTGCTTAGTTGTGATGGCATATGTGAATTTGAACTTGTCATTTTTTGTAGTATAAAACAATAGAAATGTAAAAAATTTAAGAAGTACTTGAAGTATAAAAAATATTGTAGAACAATATTGAGAATTCTAGACTTAAGAGTTTAAGAGATTGAGAGAGAATGAGAGATTGAGTTGTGAGAAGAATGAAAAAATTAAGAGTGTATTTATAGAAAAAAAAACGATCACATTTATGATCGTTTGTCACACACACACACACACGGATATATATATATATATATATATATATATATATATATATATATATTAAGCCCAAAAATTAAAAATTATTAGGCTTGATTTTTTTTTTTTCCATTTTTCAGTCTAATAGCTACTTGTCCAGCCCATATAAAATTGGTTTTTTTATTTAAATTTTTTTATTTTTTTTTTACCCAACCCAAATTTATTAGGAAAGATGTGGAACCATCGGTTCTACGATTAACCACCGATTTAGAACTGTTGATTCCGGTTCTATGATACCGTAAACCATAACCAACCCGTAGGTAGCCGGTTACGATCCGGTTTGATCAAGGTTACGATTTTAACGAGTTTCGGTTCGATTTTTAACGATTCGATTTCAGTTCGATTTACGATTCAAACCGAACCATTACCGTGTCTAGCTCCAAGCCAACTCTAATCACTACCTTGAATGGCCTCAGAAACTCTGGCATCAAGAGAGAACCGTAAATTTTGAATAATCCTCGTGCCATATCTCTTGAATAAAGGACCATGGGGGTGCCAGCAACCCCATCACAAATAAGTATCTTTCCCATCACCATTTTGAAAACTCAATCAGATTCCAAGCCATTTCTTTGTACTTCACAACTTTCCTTCAAACCCAAGAACAGTCATTTGCAGTTTTGACCAGAAAAGAAATTCCGTAGGAAACCATTTTCCTTCCAACAAACATGCCTAGGTCATGGACAATAGGCCATCCATCTAAGTTGCTGCAATTGCAGGACGATAAATTCATCTAGAATATTAATGCACCATTTGTTTCCTTAAATCTTATTGGTTTGGCCACAGAATAAAACTTTTTCCGGATACTGGTCACTATGAAACCATAAATATAACTGAACAAACATAATAATTGTGCTACTATGAGAAATCCTTATCATGGCCAACAGCATTTACAAGCACCTTTTTATAAAATCATACAAACAAATTAAGCATAGGGAACTTAAAGGAGATATAGCTAAAATGAAATGTGATTCCTGCACTGTCTACTAACCATCCTGTCTCAATGAGAACGCCCTGTAGCTTTCTTGTAGGTATACCACCTTGAAATCAAGAGATACACAACGAAGTTCAGGAAGCTGAGAATTGCCAATAGCCAGTAGAAGTAATCAAGATGGCCCCTGTTCAAATTATCAGGGATCCAACCGAGCTTCCCGCCTCTTGTTGTAACTTTAGTAACAATGGTAACAAGTAGAGTGCTCAAGTAATTTCCTAATGCGACAGTAGTAAGAGAGAGTGCTGAGCCCAAACTCCTCATAGCATCAGGTGCCTGGTCATAGAAAAACTCCAACTGTCCAATGAAGGTAAAAACTTCTGCACATCCAATGAGAAAGTACTGCGGTACTTGCCAGAAAATGGTCATTGGGATGTACTCAAGATCATAGTAATTGTTCTGTCGGACAATGTTGAGCCGAACAACCTCCAATACCCCAGCAACAATCATGGACAGAATTGATATGACAAGGCCAATGCCCATACGTTGGAGCTGAGTAAAGCCTCGTTCATGACCCGTGAACTTCCTTGCGTATGGGACAATGATACAGTCATATACAGGAGCCCAGAAGATGACACTCAGGGTATCAAAGAGGGAGAGCGATGCTGATGGAATCTTGAAATGTGGACCCATGTGTTGGTCCATAGTATTTCCTTGCAAAACGAACATGGTGCTCATTTGACTGTATACAGCTGCAAAGATTATTCCAGATGCCCATACTGGGAGCAACCGGATAATGGACTTAAGCTCTTCAACTTGAGTTACTGTGCAGAGTCTCCATGGGTTTTTTAAGCCCTTGATATCATCAGTTGGGGTATCCACAGCAGCCTTGTCAAAGAACCTGAAATTTAACACAAAGTTTGATTAGATGATCAAGGCTAGAAAATGAGAATCAGCAAAGGAGTATTTCAAAGCAAGGCTTGCATTTAGGAAGTGGAAGTGCAAAAGAAGATAAGAAAGTTTCTGGGTTTGCATTTGGGAAATGGAAGTGCAAAAAGAAGATAAAGGTGCTCTTTATGCTTGAAGGCTAATTAGCAAAAGTTTAACTCTAACTGAGAATCTGGGCCAAGATTCCCATTAGTAACTTTTGTTGCAAAATACTGCCCTCTCCATTCATGATGAAAAGTAGTAACAACCTTGCTTGGTTTCTTGGTCATTTTCAGAAACACTTCTTAAGTACTCAAAACAACCATTGCTTGGATATATGAATTGCAACATAAGATTCACTGACTGCTTATTCGCACTGTGAACTTGCAAGAGCCTATTGATGAAGGAATTGATTGAGCTACTGAAAACTTGGAAGTAAATAGGAGAGGAAATAAAATCAACATGGAGAATTTTATGGATCGCAAAAAGCAAAGAAAAAAATCAGCAAACAACCAGAATAAGTGAATAAACTTGACCTATGGATTCTATCAACTTGCATCATAAATCTTAAATATATTGGCTTCAGGGCACTTACTTGAATTTGTCTGTGTGTTCAAGCTTGCGGCTTCCTTGGATTTGACTTTCCTCTTCTGCAGTCTCATAAAGAAGAGACTTATCAGCAGGAACTTGAACACGATACTTTCTGCAGGATGCAACTATAACCTGGACAATCCTTGTAATGGGACTCCCACCAGGTTTTTGAATTCGGTATAGCTTGCTTCCCGAGAAGAAAAACACAACTGCTATGGCCATTGCAACAGCTGGGACTCCAAACCCCCACCCCCAACCAACATTCATTTGTATCCAGACCAAAACAGAAGATGCAATAAGAGCACCGATATTGATTGAAAGGTAAAACCAATTAAAAAAAGAGCTCTTCTTTTTCTTCTCAGTCTCATCAGTTTCATCAAATTGATCTGCACCAAAGGATGAAACACATGGCTTGATTCCTCCAGTTCCAAGAGCGATCAAGTAAATTGCTACAAAGAATGCTGCAGTTTGTCCTGTGGTTGGGTGGCAAGAATCCTTATCACAAGATGGCTTTAGACCAGGGACCGAAGCAGACAATGTTAGGAGTGTCATTCCCTACAAGAAAAACAAGAGTTCATTATTTCCACAGATACAATGCTTGCAAGAAAGTTCCTGATATATGAAAAATTTCTAGGTTAGCTTAAGACCATCAATTTACTTTTAGAAAGAATGGAAAATCTCATAAAAAATAAAACCAAGCCTGAGAGTTTTTTTCTTTTTTTTTTTAATTTCCAAAAGAGACAGAAGCAGAAGTACTAATGGTGGCATAAAATGAACCGAAAAGTACTGCTTTTGTAACATGGTTTATTCAATGAAGCAAAGGTATCTTAATTCCTTTCAGATATGTCAAGTTCTAAGAAATATACAAAATAGGAATTCGATGGAATATAAAATGTCTTGAAAATGTCCAAACCAGGACAAACCTTTTGCAGAGAGAACATTCTATAACAGCTAAAAATCAAAAGCATAAACAGAAATGAAACCGTTGATGCAAAGTGACATCCAAAACACCGATCAAAGGTATATGCAACTTGGTTCACTTTCACGTATTTTACAGGTCAGATGGAATTTGTTCTAAAGCAAACTTACAATGATATAGAGGAAAACAAAACTCGCAATTGTCCAATATCTTCCCAAATATGAATCGGCAATAAAGGCTCCAATCAGTGGAGTGACATAGCAAGTTCCAGACCAATTGGTAACATTGTTTGATGCAGCAACATTTCCCTGGTTGAGACGGTCCTGAAGATAGTTCACTAGATTGGTACTCATCCCATAGTACGCCAACCTTTCACAGCATTCATTCCCTGCAAGGAGATTACTGAAATTTTAATAAACAATTTTTGTCTATGGATAAAACAGGGGAATCTTAAGTCAGATATGATACAATGAACTTGGCCAAGAAAAGAGAGACACATATCATGCATACCAAGAATAAAGCGGCACGCCTTCCAGTTTCCAGTTTTCTTTCTATTAGCTGGATTTGCTTTGATATCAACTGTCCCATCATTTGTGAAATCATCTTCAGCCATAGTTTCTTGGCTGACCTGCAACACGCTTTCTTGTGAGACTTATTATTTAAATTTTAAAATTTACCTATAAAGTTAGTAGACCATCCTTGAAATAAACATAAGACTCAGAGCAATTAAAACAAGATTCTACTTCTTACAAGACATTAAAGGACTCTAGTTAATTCTAGCTCTACATTCATGAACCAAATCTTTTTTCTTCACTTCACTTCACAAAGAATGTAATCTGCACATTTCACTTGTTACTTAAATATATGCAAAATCATAGATTCATGCCTCACACATAAATCGTAATATTTTCCTTTCCCTTCTTGTCAAGTACACTAATTCAGAGCAAATTCTTCAGTTTACCACCAAAAAAATCAGTTGTGTATGAGTATGAGAATCTGATTCACCGGAATTCAAGTTGCAAAAAAAAAAAAAAAAAAAATGTGCTTGTTGATTTAGCACACAGCTTATACATCATCCTTATATAAAAGAAAAATAAAATAAAATAAAAACAGGAAAGAGAGAGATAACAACTAAACCCAGTTAAACTAAATACCATTCCAATATAATTGGGTAAAAAAAAATGAAAAGGTAAAAAAGAATAAAAAAGGGTCATCTTTAGCTGGTAAAAAGCACTAGAAAACAACAAAGAGATAACCATAAATCACCAGAGAATCCAAGAAGACCTTTACATAAAATAAAAATCAAGCGAGATAAAAGCATACGAAAAGTTGGACAAAAGCATTAAAGATTATAGTTCAGCGTAAAGAACAAAACCCATCTCTCATAAACCAAAATCACAACATTAAAACTGATAAAATACTTGGATATAAAAAAAAATAAAAAAATCCTTTTCTTTCTGATATGATCAAAATTCATAGCAAAAAAGAAAAAGTTCTCAATTTTACCCCCACAAACAGACTCTCAAGAAAACAGAAAAAGATCAGTCAGCATTAAACAAACACAAAATCAATGACAAAGAAATTTCTAACAAGAGTAAGAAAGAAGAAAAAAACACGATGCATGCAAAAGAAAATAACTTAACACGACAGAGATATTGAGTGATGAGAGTACGAAAAGGTAATGGATTTCTCGGAAGGAATCTCTCTTTTCTCCTCTCTTCTGGTTGTCGCAGGCAAGGCAAGGTGATGGGTGTAGCGATGTATATAAACGCACTTGAAAAAGCAAAACAAAAGGCGATTCGGATTCGAGCCACGTTTGGAGTAAATTATAAATTAGTCCCTCTATTTTTCATAAACCAATCAATTAGTCCCTCTGAATGTTAAAAACTAATTATTTAATTTCTAGACCTTTGGTTAAGATACTTGATTTAATATTATTTTATTTTAAAAAATTATTTTTAATCATTATTTCATATTTTTTTAATTTTTAAATAAAAATAAAAATAAAATAAAAAACGAAAATGATTAAGTTAAAAAAATTAAAAATATAGAAATTAAATAACAAAGTTTTAAAATAGGACTAATTAATTCATTTATTAAAACTAAAAGGACTAATATGTAATTTTCTCGCCAAAATAGCATACAAGGTCCGATTCCAACTCGTGCACGGCTGCATACGAGGGAGGGGAATTAGATGGACCTCTTTTGCCATCGGTTAAGGAAGGCTGAATCTTATTTCAGTTGAGTAAATTATAATTTAGTCCCTATATTTTAAGAAACTAATAAATTAGTACACTATTTCACAAATATTATATATTTAGTCCTTTCCTTTTCATAGAATGCTAAGCTGTATCTTTGGATGTTTAGGTATAGATTGATAAGGTAAAAAAAATTATTAATAAGTTGGTGGTAAAAATAGTAGGAAAAACAGAAAGTTAAAAGAGAAGGAGGACAAAATGAGATTGCGAAATTAAAGGGCGTTGACAAAAATATACTAAGGAGAATTCTAGCCTATAGAATAGAGCAAAAGTAGAAGGACTATTTGTTTATTTAAAGCTAAAACCTAAAATTCATGAGTTGGTTAAATTCCTATTTACGATGACTTTGTACTTGGACTCTTTTATGTCTATTATTATTACCAAACAAAATGGAAAGTCATTTCCGCTTTTCCCAAGTTTCTTAATTTGTCCTGTCTAAATTAAAACCCTTTCCAGCTTTATTACAGCTCATGATTAATTATATTTGATGATAAGAAAAATAATATATATATACCGCATGGTTCAGAATTTCTCAATGTTACCCCTAACAACACCTTCACCATCATTGACGAGAATATACGTGGAAGTTCTATTTTCGTAATTGTCAAAAGATTCAACGTTGCGTCCAAGATATTGTTTTGTAACAAGAAATGAAACGATGAGAATATACATGGAAGTTCTATTTTTACTTTCTAAGTGTTTTATCTAAACGATTGAAGTGAAAATAAAAATAATAATTAAACATTGTTTTATTTCCATTAGAAGAGGTGTGAATAAAAACAAAAAAAAAACTAATGAGATTTTTTTCTAAAAAAATAATATATTAATTATTATTTTTATTGTATATCAATTATTTTTACCATTAACAATACATTCACCATCATTAGACGTGGTGATTATATTTTTTTCAGAAATATATTATTATTACTATTTTTCACCGTTATCTTCTATGATAATAGAATTATTTTTTAAAAAATATATATTATTATTATTATACTATTATTCCTGTCACCACATTTTTCTCCTCTTATTTTACCTCTAGAATCTCCTATATTATTCTTATTAACACCGCCATTGATAAAATCATTCTTTTAATCACTATTTATTTTCATTTTAAAAACTAGACATTAAGGGAAAAAATTAACTTTTATTATGATTCTTTATTAGTATTACAAACACAATATTAAAAATAAAACATAATTTTGATTCTTTCATTTTGATTCTATTCTTTTTATTTATATTAACCAAATAACATCTAATTATTTATAAAAATTTCAATGTTACATCTAAGGTATATATATATATATATATATATATATAAAAGATGAGAATATGCATGAAAGTTCAATTCTTACTTTTTAAGTGTTTTATCAAAAGGAATGAAGTAAAAACAAAAAAGGGTTAAAGGTAAAGGATGTCCATCTACTATTTTATATGTCTTAATCATGTTCTTCTACTAAAATTTTCAATAATCGTGTCCCTATATTCTTAATTTGCATCTAAATTTGGGCCCTCCATTCAATTTTTTAGGCAAGTGAGACAATTTTCAACTTAAGACTAACGAGATATCGACACATGATATTAATTTTTTTTTCCTTTCAATTTTGAATACCAATAAAAAAATAAATGAAATATAAAATTTAAAACCTTAAATTGGCTCCACTTAAAAAACCCTTATATCCCAAATGTTTCATCTCCGCTTAAGGTGGCGAGCTTCTTACGGTGGAGGTGGATCCATCTCTCGCTTGTAGTAATCGGAGGGGAACAAAAGTAGTTCAAGAGTAGATGGTCAGTTTGAGAGGTTTTGAACCGACAAAGAGTTTTTGTTTTGCAATACTACATGGAAACATGGATAATGTAATTTGGTACAACTCTCTTTCTTGACACTTTCATCCATCTACCATTCAAAGCTTGTTGTATTATGTCAACCTCACTTGTATTTCACTATTTCTCATCAAGTTTATCACGTTTTTTCACATTTGATGGGTGATCCCTAATCTTATTTCTACTTTTTCCCTAAACCGATAGGGATTCCTTATGAGCTTTTAATAGGATGGGTCTAAGATGCTCGTGTTTTGGGCAAAGGAACAATGCCTCTGTCCTTTTGAACTCGTTAGATTTGAATACAAAAACACATCCAATGGTCTGCAGGGGAAAGACATTATGCTTGCATGCAAAATACGAGCATTGTAGCAACCCCCTCATTATATGTATTAACTTACTAGAAATTTCAAGAATTCCTTGTTGAGGAGCAAACATCTTGAAAAGGCTTGCATCTATTACAATACAAATGATTGACATGAAAGCTTAGGCATGAGAGAAGGGGATTCTTGAATGATTTTTGGGATTTTAAGTCTATTTCTTTGATAAATCATCAACAATTCTTTAACGTGATTTTAGGCATTAGAAAGGTAGGTTAAATTTGGGGATTTAGAAAATATTCATTCTTGGTAGAACATTTGGGATATAAGGGTTGTGAGTGGGGGGCAATTTGGATATTTTATTTTTTCATTTCATTAAAAAATTTAATGATATTCGAATTTGAGAGGAAAAAAAATTAATATCTCGTGTCAATATCTTGTTAGTTTTAAAGCAAAAATTGTCTTTGTTGCTTGAAAAATTGAACGAAGGGACTAAATTTAGATGTAAACTAAGAGTAGAGGGATACAATTATTGAAAATTTTAATAGAATGACATAATTAAGACATATAAAACAGTAAAAGGACATCATGAACTTTTAACCTAAAATAAAAATAATAGTTGAATATTGTTTTATTCACATTGGAAATGGTGTGAATAAAAACAAAAAAAAAATGATATTTTATTTTCCTAAAAAGATAATATATTAATTATTTATATTTATTATAGATTAACTACTTCTACCACTAAAAACACTCGTCACCATCGTTGAAAATGGTAATGATATTTTTTTCAATTATTGTTATTATTATTATTATTTTACCACTACTATCATTCTTTTTCCACCGTCATCTTCTAAGATTATAGAATTCATTTAAAAAATATATTATTATTATTATTATTATTATTATTATTGTTATTACCGCCACTATATTTTTCTCTTTTTATACCATCATTATCATCAATCCACCATTGCAACCACCTATATTATTTTTATTAACATCACCATTGGTAAAATCATTCTTTTAATCACTATTTATTTTCATTTTAAAAACTAGACATTAAAAAATTTTAAATTTTATTATGATTCTTTATTAATATTCAAACACAATATTAAAAATAAAACGTGATTTTGATTCCTATATTTTTATTTTGTTCTTTTTGCTTCTATTAACCAAATAGCATCTAATAGTTTTAATAACCAGGAAAGTTTAAAGCATGCATGTTTAGAAGTGGCATTCTCCTTTAATTTTTCCAAATAATTAAAAAAAAAAGCTATAAAAAAAAACAATTTTTTTTTCAAATACAAGTTTTATAAATTGAAAAAATGTTTTGTTTCATTTATCAAGGTTTATATATGTGAAAAGAAATAGGAGAACTAGCTAACTAATAGTTAGTTTAGCTTAACCGAATGTAAAAGTTAGTTAGTTTGTTATTTAGTTAGCTTAACTCATAGTTAGTTTAGTTTGTTAAGCTTAGTATATAAACGAGACTTATGTACTTGTTTCTATAACTAACGAGAGAGAATGAAAAATCACATTTTTCTCTTCACATTTTCTTTTCGGTTCATCTCTCTCTCGACTCTTCTAAAATGGCATCAAAGTGGTAAGTGTTGTCGTGTGCACCCAAATTAAACTCCTAAACTCTTACAACACAAATATAGTAAGGGAGAGTAGGGATCGATCCCATGAGGAGTTTTGTTACATTAGTCATCATAAATCTAGAAGAAACATGAAATACTTAAAAAGGGGGTTTTTTTATTTGATTGAGATATAATCAAAACTAAACAAATTAAATTCATGAAATAAGTTTAAAATAATTTTTCAAGTAAACAAACCTTGGTTCGAGTCACATCCACTTTTGAAACTTAAGATTTATCCTTGATGCAAGAAATATCATATTCTCATTCAAATATTTATTGTGATATTGAAATCAATCTTTCCTCACGATTAGCCAATTAGAAATGTGTATTCTAATTAACCATCATTATTTAACAACCCTAGATACGATCTAAGATTTAATCAAACAACGGTTTTATGTATTAGAAAGATCAACAAAGCAAGACAACAAAACACATGTAGTTGCATTTAATCTAGTTAAACAATCTTCCTAAGAATCATTAGTTTCTAACGCGAGCAAACCATACACTCCTAGTTGCTACACGAATTAAATGGATTGAACAATTACGGATTCAATATTCAATCTAGCTATAAATTATTTCGGTTAATAAACTAACTACACACATTAGAAATCAACCTAAAAAATCATGAAAATAAGCATAGAAGAAAGTTTAATACTTGAAATAAACAAGCTGATTTGCATTAATGTTTAAGCACTTCAAAATCTTTAATTTCCAATAACTTTAGTTGCCTTTAACAAGGAAAGAGGTTTAGCTCGCTCATGACGGTGTTCATGGCGAGTTGTCATAATAAGAGTGAGAAATAAAGCTGACAATTACAATAATGAATAAAAAAATAAAAAAAAGTGTTTACCCTACTCTGCTATGTTCCTATTTATAGAGGTTTTCTGTTTCCCAAAAAGGGTACAAAATATTCATTCCTCTTTCAAAAGGTTTGAGTTTATTCCTGGTAAATCGCAATAGAATTTATTTCCTAGTTGAGGTCTCGTTATTTGTTTTTATAGTTTTCATCGTGCCCACGCCTTCATACTCTTGTGTGTCCATGTCCGTTGGATCTACGTGCCCACACTATTACTCTTATATATCCACGTTTCTCGTGCTTTCTAGTGTTTGAGTTAGTCTTGATCATAAATTTTTTTTATATGGTTCTTTTAACGTCATTTATCAATTAGTTCCATATCCTGGCACATAGA